TATATATATATATATATATATATTTTTACTTTGTAATCGTTATATGCATTTGCCCGTAAATGATGTGAGTAAAATTCTTTTAATAACAATTGCATAAAAGTAAATTTGATATCCTTGTGCGTATAAGGATTTCAATAGCAATTAAATTTTAACATATATGCATTTGTTTTAGATTCACCTCGCCCAAAGCGAGTAAAAATCTTCTTTTTTTTTTAAGTGTAAATTATATTTTTATTTCTTCTATTTATTTTAAGATTTAATTTAATTTCATTATTTTTAAAAGGTTTAATTTGATCTATTAATTTTTAAAATAGTTTAATATTGTCCTTCTATCTAAATTAATACTAGCAACATTAATGAAATTAGGTGATAGGGTAACATTGAATATTTTTTTGAAAGTTAAAAAATTAAATTGAACATTTTAAAAATAGTGAAATCAAATTGAACATTTTAAAAATAGTAGGATCAAATTGAACATTTTAAATTATTCAATTTGGTCATCTAATTTTTAAACCATGCTCAATATTGTCCTTTTATTGGATTTCATTAACACCATTAATGTCAATTTGGATAGAAAGATGGCACTGAACTTTTTTTAAAAATTAAATGACCAAATTAAATTATTTAAAAATAATGAGACCAAATTGAATCATAAAAATAATAGAGGAAATAAAAATATAATTTAATTTTTTTTATGTCCTCGAGTATGCATAAGACTTTCAACATGAAGCAATATCAACATATAAAACTTGCAACCCCCATTATTCAATCATTTTAATTTAATTAAGGATGATGAGATATAATTCCAAGGTATGGTGTGCACTTATAGTTTAATGTTAAATCTTCATGTCATCACATGAGCCAAGTAACAGAATGTTATGTTATTTAATCTAATATTGACTCATAATTATGAAATGACTTTTAATGAACAGAATCTAATGCTATTGATGTCTATGATTATTATACTTAAAATGTATTTAGAGTTATTGAAAATTATTTTAAAGTTTTTAAAATTAGCATAATTTAATTTGGCATTAAAGAGAAAGAAAAGAGACGTTGTGGAAGTTAGAGAGTTAGTTTTAAAAAGGATAACATCTTTCTCTTTTGTTGGCTTCTTGTTGTTTTTTCAGATAAGTTGTCAAGAACTAATTAAACGGATTTCAATACCATTGTAAAGACCAAGAAAAAAAAACAAGCATCATTAAATTAAAACTTAAATATGTTCAACACCATAATCTAAAAATCTATCATATATCATCCTCATTCCTCAACATTATAAACTCAACAAAATATCACAAGTGTTACATTTAATACCACAAAATTCTAATATGTAATTTGTGCTCAACTTTCACGAATAACACTCACAATGAGATAAAAAAAAAACGTGTTTTATTTTTATCTTTTAATACGCAATGAATGAGTCGGTTTCAAAATAAAAAATAGAATGAATATATCACTTATCTCTTCTTTATCATTTACTAGGTCACCTTATTTGATAATAATAATAATAATAATAATAATAATAATAATAATAATAATAATAATATATTAAATTAATCGAATAGATTTTCAATTTTTAAATCTGAAATATTAAATTAGATTGGATTGGCGACCAATCCCCTACCCTATTACAGTACTAAATTATATGTTTAACTTTAAATCTAATAATAGAAAAAGCAATGTTGTTAACATCATATCTGTAATGGACTTAGCAAGAGTCCTAAGTTGGAGGATTATTAGTGGGTGATTGAATTGTTTGCCTATAAATTAACGTAAATATTATGGTTTCATTTGGTCTAAAATATAAATATAAATATGGGTTGGGTGGTATGTTAAGCGTATAGTTAGTGCGTGTTAGAACGTTGTGCAGTGTCTGTAAAAAGTGTGGCTGAAAAAGTCAGCACAGTGTCTTCAGAATACGGTTTAATGACTAACATCTAGTTTCACTACAACAAAAATTATTTTTAACGATAATTGTTTAATGATAATAATTAAATTGTCGCTATTTAATTATATAATAAAAATATTAATGGTTAATATATAATAACCACTAAAAATGTATTTATATTACACTAAAGTTTATTATTAAGGATAATTATTTATTAAAAAAAACTAGTCTCACATCGATTAGAGATAAAATAATTAAATAGTATATAAGTGAGTAATAACTATCACCTTATAAATTAATTTATAGGATTGAGTTAGACTCTTAATTCACTATAATAAATTAGTATAAAATCACCCACTATTACCAAGTTCAATAGTGCTATAAAACAATTAGAGAGCAACTTTCACCTAATAAATCTCACATCTCTTAGAGATAAGATAATTAAAAAATAAATTAAAATATATATAAATAGAAGACAACCTTCATCTTACAAATCTCACATCGACTAGAGATAAAAAAAAGAGTATATAAGTTATGAATTTAGAAAAGAAAATTATAGGAATAAAAGTCACTAAATGGATGGAAAGGAGACAATTGAAAAAATAACGTTTAATAGCCTTTAAAATGGCTACTAAAATTGTCACTAAAAAAAATAAGTTTTCCCGACAATTTAGTAGGTCTTTACCAACATTTTATATAAATGCCGGTAATAGTATTAGCGACACTGGATACACCAACCATTATCTAAATGCTGGTAAAAAAAAATAATGATCATTTATATGTTTCATGCCAATTCAGTTTCAGTAACCAGCCAGTCCCATTTTTACCACTTTATCAAAAGATTAAAATGTTATTAGTATAGTGTAGAAAGATTAAAAATAGATCTCAATTATGATATTATCTTAGAAATGAGTTTAAAATCAAATTATAACTTTCATAAAATTGACTTATAATTTATAAGAATGGACTAAAATTTTTAATTTAAGAGTTTTAAAATGATTTATAGTTGTAAATAAAAGCTGTTACTAAAAGTTCAAAATTTATAGATAAATGTATAATAAATTGGACCTACCAACATTTTTCCAAACAACTTAAGAATCATATAATGACAATTGATAACTTGTCATTATAAGTTTTACCAATAGATAAAATTTTACATATAATCATATTTAACTTCTACTTACAACCTCTTTTTCTAGGTAGAAGCCATTAATGAACATTAGTAGGAAGAATAAACCTCTCCTATCCCTTAATCTCTATTGGGGACTTATTCTTACATATCTAAAATTACACATCATTTAGGAATCAAGGTTAATAGTAGTTTATAAACATTTATACCTTAACCTATTAAGATATTTTTTTGAGAATAAAATTGTGATTACTAAGAGTGATAAGAATTAATCTTTTCTTTGGAGTAAAGAGAGATGTATGAGGGAAAGAAATAGGATATTAAAAGAGAGAATGAATCAAAATGTGTAGATTTTAAGGATGAAATAAAGAAGTATAAAAGAGAAAATGTGTAGATTTTTAGAGAGAAATAGGATAAAAGTATTTGAAGAAAAAAAGTGGATAAAGATATAATTTTTAGCAACTCCCACAATTTTTATAAAATTTATTCAAAATCTTTTCATTTATGAAGAGATTTTTTTTTAATCATGGATTCTACTCATTTTTTTCTTCTCTTTTCCAATTTCTCTCATCTTCTAAACAACAAAAAAAAAATTCTCTTGCACCTCTTTCTCTTATATTTCTTCTGATCTTAGTTATAATTAAGTAACAAATTATTTTTTTCTTTGACCCTTATTATAAGCAATGATCAACAATTTTTAAAATTACTAAAGATAATTTTATTTATATCCTTAATTTATTGTTAACTTTATTTTTTTTAATATTTTTTTACTCACTTATACATTTACTAATTTCTTATATAGTATGTGTTTAGTAAAAGATATCTTTAAAATAAAATTTAAATTTATAATATAATTAATTAAAATTAATTAATTTAATTATTTTTGTTATCTCTATGATTAATTTGTTATAGGCTAGTCATAATCTAAACAACACATTATATAGATCTCTCTTCTCAAAGATCCTTAAAACAAATAATGGGTAAAGCAGATCTCCAAAGGTAAATAACATTAGTGCATCCACACGTGTGAGCTATACATCAAATTGCAAACACAACAAAACCTAGACTTGAAAGCTAAATGTTTTCCACACATAACACCACAACCCTTAGAAAACTATAAAAACAAGTTTAAATGCATATAATTGACTACATAGAGAGATTAAGACTAAATATTTCGTATGGATTGACCATTGTTCATAGACACGTACGAACACGATGCCAACTTTTGCACCAGAAAAAAGGAAAATCCGAAGCTTATAATAGCTACGTAGAATGTGTAGAATGGATGTACATGTGTATCAAACAAAAAATATTTTAATTAACTTCCAAAAGATTCGAACCAATGGTCTTAATAAGTTTTAACCTCTCTATGTTTATATATTCACTTTAACTTGTTTTTATATTTCTCCAACACCATTAAAATTTGCTTAACGAAATTAATAACGTACGTAAAGTGAACCATTCTAGAACCTCAATCCATGTTGACCTAGTTTCTCTTCGGTGATGGTGTCGAGTTGTTGAGTCATCTCAACGGTGAGATAGTTTTTCCAGTCACCAATCTCTCCACGACGGAAGAACGCTTCGTGCTGTTCACCGGAGGGGAGTTTCCCGTTCTTGTTCACCTGCAAGTTGCTCAAGTTATCAAAGCTACACAGTTTCAAAATCTCATCCACTACTCCATCTTCCTCTTCTTGTTTTGAAAAAGGGCAACCTACAAATGCAGCGAGTTCTTTGAGGACGAAATTAGGTTTCAGTTTCATTTCCTCAAACCTCATGAACTTGATCTTGTTGGGCTCTTCCAAGCTCATGTGCCAGTAGTCCAGCACATGGGCCCAGAAGGGCCCATACAAGCTCACCCCTCTGCAGAACTTGAGAAAGGCCTCCTCGAGCGAGGCGGCCCCTCTGTTCTGGGGCCTGAGCTTGTTTGTGAAGTGCCAAAGGGAGATGAAGGCATCTTTGGGGTCCCTACAAAGGAACACAATCTTGCAAGAGGATTGTGTGATGGAGTTTGGGAGGGAGACATAGGGGAGGTGGGTGGAGAAGAGCCTTGGGGAGGGGAGTGAGGCTAGGTTAGGGGGAGAGTGGTTGTTGTGGTTGATGTAGAGGTCTAGTTCCAAGAAGGGTACAAGAGAGTGGGGGTTGTGGGTGAGCAAAGGGTGGTTTTGTAGGGTGTTAGGGTACTTGTGGCGGTGGAGAAGGGCAAAGGTCCATGCCTTGAGCCAAGTGGTGCCTGATTTGGGGGTGCTTACAATGAGGACATCAGTGTCATGGGCCTTAAAGTGCTTTTGGCATGAGAGGACCCCTTGGAGTTGCCTAGTGGTGTGCCAAAAGCCTTGGTATTGGTGGAGATGTTTTGCAACCCAACCTTTCTCCTTAGGTAAGGTGGCTATCACCTCCTTCCATTCTTGGCTCACTTCAGTCTCTTGCAAGTAATTGGGCACTACATTGGATTCACCTTCTGGCATGGTTGGAGTTGGAGAATGGTGGGTAAGGTGCACCGTTCAATCTTCATGGGTATGCATATATTATATATTATATACGGAATAATAATTTATTTTGATCTGTAAAAGTAAGTGAGCACTGTCGTATCAGTTCCTGAACTTTAAAAAAGGGCAAATAAGTCCAATAATATTAAATAAGTTTTTAAATTTAATTATTTATTATTATTTTAATATTTAAATATATATTAATATTATCATTTTAATTACACTTTTTTTCTCTCTTCAATTTTTAACCAATGTCATTGTCAAATTTACATTTTCATCAAATATTTGTTTGACATTTTCTTAATTAAAAAATAATATATAATAATGTTTTCTAAATTCATGGACTAAAACGATTATTTATTCATTATATAGGATTAGAGAGATCGAAATATTTTATGTCTCTATCAATTATATAGATAGGATATTAGATGGTTGTAGGTAATTATTTAAAGAGAATATGATATGCTATTTTTTATTAACATTTGAGAGAATAATAATCTAAAAAGTGAAGACAAAAAATGATTATAAATCTTAATATCTCCTTTATAATGGTATAGATTAATCACTTATATAGTATCTACACAATTTTTACGTTTTAATCTAAGTAATTAAATAGTCATTTTTATCCCTACATTTTGAAAATGTTATTATCTTAATCCCTAAAATAAAGAAAATGTCAAATAAGTTCCTAAAAGTTCACATTGACAATAACATTAAATCAAAATTAAAAAATATGTGATTAAAATAATATTATTAATATATATTCAATGATCAAAATAACAATAAGTAATACTCCCACGCCCCAATCCTTTATATAAAAAATAAATGAATATAACATATTGGTCCTAATTATAAGAAATAAGTACTTAATATATATTAATTACTAATTTTCTTTTATACTCTTATGCAAATGAATGTATTTATTGATATATTAATAATATAAATTATTTACATTGGTGAAAAAATTATTTATAGAATTAGATGTGTCATTTAATGTGAGCACTATTTAAACTAATCAATTCAAAGAGTCTAGAAGAAAAAATGTAATTACGATATTATTAATAAAAAATAAATATCTTAATTATTTTTATTAATTTTGATAAATTATTTATATATAGAGAGATGATTGGAGGGTGTAATATGATATGATATTTTCATAGTTTCATACGGGTGGCATATATCCATATTAATCCAAAAAGTCAATGAATCCAAAACGAAAAATTTGAATTTGTTTGGATCGAATTAAAAAAAATGAAAATCTAATAAGTTCATATCATATTATGAATTTTGATATTGAAAATCTAACCAATCTAATTCAACTGATCAATTATTATATATTACTTTTTAGTATTTTATAAAGTCAAGATTTATAATTTTTTCAACAAAAAATACTTAGATTTTGGACTAAAAGGCCAACTGAACTTCCCATTCATTCTTAACGTTGTAACACTTCATTTAATACTTCATAATCTATAATCTATATAGTTCTATAATTTTATTACTCCTGAATTTATTAGAGTGAGCTTAAGTATAAGTATAATAAAACTATGCATACTACATTAAAATAAATATAACATTAATTTTAATTTTTTAAATTTAAACAAATATGATGATCTAATCAAAATCAATTTAATTATAATTGGAAGTTCGGATCGTAAAAAATAATAATAAAATTTAATTCATACTGATGCAATTAAATTTAATCAAATTAAATAAATAAAAATTTACACAAATCTAACTATTCCTAATTCCAAAAACTAATGTGATTGCACTTCCACTTTCAAGCACTAAAATAACTATTTAATCATTTTAATCCATATACATATAAATTACTCGTTTTATTCTCTGCATAATCTTTAATATGTTTTAGGTCTCTGGCCGCCAATATTATAGGGACGACTTAACCAAATTAATTGTATATATAAATACTAAAATGTGTTAAAAAGTAAATCGAATAATTTATCGATTAACAAAACATAGATACTTCATTATAAGTATAATTAGTGCTGTTTTTTTAATAAAAATTAAAATTTTATCCAATAATATACATAAATACATATTATTAACGTCTATATTAAATGTATATGTATATTATTAAAATGAAATTATAATTTTAATTAGAAAAAAGTAATAATTATACACACGGTAATGTACACTACAACAAAATAGATTTTTAGTGACATTAATTAGCAATAAAAATTGCTACAAAATTTTTTACCAGCATTTTCACATTAGTCATTATATACAGTATCGATAAAATATTTAGCGGTAATTATTCTAAATGCTGGTAAAAACCCTTATAATGATCGGAAAAAAGTGTATAATTTTTTGTTACATTTTTTACTTTGATGTGAGACTTGTAAGATGAGTACAAATACTCTTTAATTACTTTTACTTTATCTCTAGTTGATGTGAGACTTTGTAAGATGAGGGTTATTTTTAATTACCTTATTTCTAGTTGATGTGGGACTTGTAAGATAAAAATTGTCTTCTACTTATATATATATATATATATATATATATATATATATATATATATATAATTTTCTTATCAATAGTCGGTCCCCTTAAGTTTAAGGAATATTGAGTTTGATAATAATGAATAATCTCATACCAACTTAGAATAATAAGTTATAAGTTTAACTCAACCCTACATAACAAACTTGTAAGGTGAAAGTTATTATTCATTTATATATTATTTAATTATCTTATTTCTAGTCGATGTAGGACTAAAATTTTTTTTAATAAATAATTGTCGCTAATAGTAAATTTTGGTATGATATAAATATATTTTTAGTGATCATTATATATTAGTTACTAATACTTATATTAAATAATAAAATAAAGACAATTAATTTATTACTGTTAAATAATTGTCTATAAAAATAAATTTTGTTAGTGTAACTAATTAAGGTTTGTCTTAATAAGAGAATTAAGAAGTAAAGATTATACGTGGAGAAAGAAATGAGTAATAAAGGAAACATTTATATGCAATAATCTGATATGCAATTACTGACTTTAATTTGTTATATATGTTTTGGTGCTGGATCTCTACAGGGTGCTCACCAGCTGAGTCCCACAGATATATGCAGCTGTTTTGGTGTGTGTTGCCATTGCATGCCACGAGCAATGAAGCTTGTGCATGCATGTGATGTCAATTAATATCTCCATTATTACTGTACCTCTTGTCAATTTCTCAACAGTGTTATCACACTGTACGTTCTAGTCCCAGCCTCTACTTTAATTTGGACTTTTACAATTTTGAAAAAGGCTTCTTACTCAATGCATCAGAAAGACTTGCCGTACGTATATTTTGAAGATTAGGAAAATTTTGAAAGTTTATCACCAAAAGATATGAAGCATTATTAATCATCTTAGGGTATCTTTTTCCATGTGATACCTTTTTTGGCCATGTCTGTCGAAATGAGTATGTATGCCACTATACCTGCTCTTGCTATAAATTATTATCTCTTCAATTATTTCCTCTCATCTTTCGTTTTCTTTTTGTATTTTGTGTTTTCATAGCATGGCCAATGGCTATAATATATACAAAAATGTCAATGGTATGTAGGCTTGGACCGATTTAGATAGGGCAAGGTAAACAGGTGTCCCCTGCCTCATAAATTTCTTTTATTTTTGTTTTAGTAAATATCAATGTAAAAAACCTATTTTGTATTTCTGTATTTTAAAAAAAAAATAAAAAAGCAGTTAATTGAACAAATTTGGGAAATTGTAATTGTAGGTGAATTTTTTTTTTAATCAGATTTGAAACGTAAAATTTATGTAAAAGTAGTTTGCGAAGTACTTTTTTTTTTTTATAAGCAAAAATAAAAATAAATTAAAGGGAGTACAAGGGGTATCTCAATCCATTACAAAATACAAAGTTACCTAAACAAAATTTAACATAGTCCATACAAAAGGTAATTACCAGATTGTAATGTCTACCACCATTACAAAATCAAGACCATAAAATGTTATCTAATAATCAAACAAGTTTAGTAATTTCAAATTTTAGAAAGAAAAAAAATCAGATACAAAACTAACACCATGGTGTGTACAGAATCAGAAAGAATTATTATTCCAGAAATTAAGGCAAACACCAGGGGAAGAAAACCACGCTGAGAATGGGTAAAAAAATGACTTATCTTTGGTCTTAATCCAGTTCCAGCTACGTAGTTTTATTAATTCTACTAAATCCGTAATTGTCACCACCTTTTCTTTAAAAATGACATCATTTCTAGCAAGTCACAGAGACCAAATTGTGGCTAGCTAAACCACAGACACTGCATTTAGGAAATCTAACAAAATGAACAAAATTTTCATGACAAGAGTTGTGTAAAACTGTTGAAACACCAAACCAAGCAAAAACAGATAACCGTACAGAATAGGCATAATAACATCCAAATAATAGTTGAGAAGTATTCTCCAAATCTTCATCACACCAAGCACATCCACTAGCAAAAATATTAAGAACCTTCCGCTTAATCAAGTTACATTTACTTGGTATCCTATTCAGCAAGACTTTTCAAGTAAAACCTGATACTTTAGAAAGCACACAACTGGACCAAAGAAATTTATGGAAAAAAAAGTGCACATGAAATAGAATAATTTTATTTATTATTAGTATAGATCTAATATTTTTTTAATATAAGTTGTTGGAAATTATATTTAATTGAAAAAAGATTATGAAAGTAGACATGTAATGAATAATATTATGAAGTTTTGATAGGATTTTATTGTAAACTTTACTTATATTTACTATATTATTTGAAGTTAAATATTTAAATAACTATAAAGGCAAAAAAAAAACTGCTTACCTTAATTTATTAAGCTTAGATTTGTGGCTTATGAAAGGAAATTTTAAAAAAAAAAAGTGTAAATATTACATCGGAGAACATAATTTATTTTAAAAAACTTTCAAATAAGAAATTGTAGTCATTATGAAATAATGAAGGAAATATTATTTACAAAATATGACAAAATCGAACAAACACAATGACATATTTAATGT